CCCAAAAATAAGTTTTGGGAACTTTTTTTTTTTTTTTTTTTTTTTTTTTTTTTTCTTCTCCCTTTCAGGTCAGAGCAGGTTTTGAATTTTTGCTTTAATGGCTGCCTTTGATCCCTTTTAGGACACCGACATGCTGTATGAGGCCACAAACACACCGGCTATGGCCCGCACGTCCAATCTGAATGAGGAACTAGGCCAGGTAAATGACTCGGCTTAAATGTCTTTCTCTTATGGAAGACTGAAGGAGTTTTACGTGTGGATTTCAGAATCCACTGTGCACCCACAAGCGTTTTTTTTTTCTACCCATACAGGTAAAATACATTTTCTCTGACAAGACAGGAACACTGACCTGTAATGTGATGCAGTTTAAGAAGTGCACCATCGCCGGTGTGGCCTATGGGTATGTCCTGCTTTCTCTTTTCCTGCTTTCCACCCCACCTATACCTTTGCCTCCCCCATAGACTTTATTAAATGCTGGGTATGCATCAGTGTGCATCTGGCATTTCTCTGTTCTTCCTCACCGTCTCATTAGCAGCTGCATCGGTGTTCTTCTGCCTCTGAATGTTAACTATAAATAAAACCTGGATAGAATTTTGCAAGCCAAGGCTCTTCACACCATCGTCTTCGCAGCCCTTTGGTGTTTGCAAAAATTAGATTTTTTTTTCCTGTTTGTACTGTATCCTTTTATAGATGCTGATGTAAAAGCTAATTACCCTCATATTATTATTTTTTTTTATTTTACCAGACATGACATATTTCTAGCAACATTTTAACATTTCATTAAATCAGTTCTTGGATTGTTTTTTTCTACTCTGATTTCAATTCTCTGCCTCAGTGATTATCTTCAACAAATACAAAACAAGTGGGCGAGCTGAGTGTCTTCAGAGAAGCAAAGCAAGCGCAGGCGTGAGAGTACATGATTAATCCCATTAGGATTCAATTAAAACGTGTGATTGATGAAGTTCACACTGAAGGACAACATGCATTATTTTATCTGGTTGTCTTTGCTCCCATTAGGCTGTGATTAGAACCACTGTAAAGTCGCCTTGCTCATTCCCAGTGTTCGGAATAAGCAAGGCGAGCTCAACAATATCACTCTCGAGAGTTACAGTGGAGAAGATGTTGTTGACGTGCTGCCACAGAAAAATTGATGCTCGCATTTCAGTTTAAAAACTATAGATGCAGAGGACAGACAGATGTAGATTTTTTTTACATTATATCTATGTCTTATATTTTTTCTCCTTTTTTGAGGGATTTAGTAGTGTTTTGATTGAAACTTTCTTTTTTCCTTAAAGACTTTATTTTAGGCAGCAGTGAAAAGATGCATCAATTTAAAATTTAGCTACAAAAGGTAAAAAATGTGGGTTAATAAGCAGAAACAAAAAGTTTAGCATTTATGTAATGTTGGGGAGGCTGGTTGACCTTTTGTTTTCTGTAAACTTTAAGATTTTTATAACTACACTGGTGTAAAAAGAAAAAAACAAAACAAAACAAAAAAAACATTTTTCCTGGACAAACCAGCACAAACGTCTAACTCCATTTTTTTTTATATTTGAAGAATGTGGAGGTGGAGTGGCAGGGCTTTCACTGAGGCCTTGACATGTCGAAAATACAGTTTCTCTTTAAGTAGCTTTTTCCATTTCTGTGGCGCCTCGGTCTTCATTTTAAACTGCCCAGTGATGTTGACAGTACCTAACTTTCAGCCCTGTTCCC